TTTAAATTTGGAAAATTTTTGGAAAACCTCGCTTTTTAATTACATGGAGCACTGAGGAGCCTAAAAACTATAAAATGAAAGATTAAACAGACTTGAAATAAAATAAAAAAAATATAATTTTAACAATTATAATTTAATTGCGAGTATTTAATATAAAATTTAAAAAGATATTGTGCATAAGGTAATTATGGTTAATTTACTCGAGTAAATTGTTGATAATATTAAAATATTTATTTTCAGTGAACTTTATAAAATTAATTTTTGACAATTTTATTTATTAGTTGACTTTCTTTTAAAACTATGCACTGAAGAAACCCTTTTGAACCAGGTCCAGTACTAACCATGTATGGCCTGCAATTAAAAATTATTCAATTTTAGCTCAAGTCATTGGACTTTTTATTTTTGTCATACTGTGAAAAACATGACAATAAAATTAAAGACAAATAATAATAAGAATTTAAGAAATTGATAATAATATTTTTCAAAGGTATTTAAGTATAAAAGAGAAAATTTTAATATTTGCAAATATTTACCAAGTGTAAATTTTAATACAGTTGTCTAAAAACTGAATGTATATTCTTTTTAATGGCCTTTCTTCAGTTTTTATTATCAGATCCGGCTCTCTATTAAATTCTTCTGTCAAAAATTGATTTCCATTTAAATTGAATTCGTCATGTGAAAAAAATTTATCAGATAAATAATAAAATAGTATTCTTCCTAAAAACAAAAATTTTTTGTTTTATATTTTATAATTTTAACTCATTCATTTTAAACTCATAATAATGATTAGTACCATCTTTTGTTCCACATGCAAGAAGTCTTTGACGTAGGCAAACGCATAATACATTTTCCGCATGAGTATCAACATCAAATGTTGTACCTAAATCCCTGCAACGTACTAAATCTGTCGTAGGTTTTCCTAAAAGCCAATAATCTGCTCCTCTATTCATATGCCAGTAGCCTAAAAATTACAATATAACTATTAGGCTTTCAATACCTGTATCTCTTCGGTAGCCATGTTGTATAAAATTAAAAATACTAATATTCTCCAAGTACATTACTAAATTTATCTTTAAAAATAATTTTTTTTACATTTTATTAATTTCCTTTAAGCTGGAAAGAAATTCACTGATTACATTGTGTGTGTGTGTGTGTGTTTGATAATTTCAATAGAACAAAGTTTTTTTTTTTTTTTTTTTACTATCTAACCTAACAGTTGAGATGAAATGAAAGTAGAGCAAAATATAATTCCACGGAAAATCCATACGGGGTTTTCATAATGTATTTCATGATATCTATCAGATAAACTACTATTTTCAGTTGACAAACACCATCGAAGAATTTCTCCAGATTTAAAAAGGATAATCACTTCATCAGTCCATATTGAAATAAATCCAATGGCTGCATCAATTATATAATTAGCTATGCACTTCAATTTAACATCTTTGCTCCCAACTGTTAATACTTCAAACACAGAAACTTCTTGAACTTTATTGGTGATGGCTAACTTGGAATCGTAGATACTAAAATGTAAGTATTTTTATCATTTTTAAATTATTTTAAGACATTTTATTTAGGTTGTTTATTACATTAGGAATACCCATAATAAAGTTTGGAAATAAAAATCCTGATTTAATTGTAATTATTGATGATGATGAGCATTTATTTTTTTTTTTTTTTTTGGGAATAGGTGAATGTATAAATTCACTCACCTGAAATTTTGTTCACAAAGAAATTCATTGGAAAAATTTTCTAAAATTGGCCTTAGGTGTTTCATATTGTAAACCCAAGATTTCCCTGAGAAATATGGTAGGGAGAAAAATTCTAAATCATTTCTACCTGTTTTAGCCAAGAGTATATTCTTTTTTGACATGATTTCAATATGATATATCGGTTTCTCTGTCACTTTTGTTATAAAAACAGGAATACTTGTTCGATCGGCTTGATATATTTCAATTTCCCCAGTTTTGCAGCCGATCATAATAAAAGGTCCTGAAAAAGGCAAAACCAAAATTTATAAAATAAATTTAAATTTTATTAAAAACTCTATTAAAAAATGAAAATAAAATTTACCAAAAAAACAGCAACAATTATGATGATTTTCATTTAATTCAAGTATGATATTTTTTTCATGATCTAACCATTTATTTACTAAATACAATTGAAGAAAATAATTATCAATTGCTGTCAACCAAATATCATCTGATGTTTTTTCACTTTCTATTTCTGTTATACATTCTTTTGGTATAATTTTTGAAAATCTTTCTTCTGCGATCCTTTTAAAATAAAAATGTCAATAATTAAAAACAAAAAATTCTTTTTGTAAAATCAAATAATTCAATTTCAGAAGTGATTTTGTATGCACAGAAATAATAAACTATAATCATTGGTAATTTAAAATTATATTATAATTAAAATGAATTTATAAGATTTTAAGAAGGAGTAAAAACTGTTGAAGGAATATTTGTATATATGTAATCAGAAAAAAATTATTAACTATATACTTTCTTACCACTCACATATGGTGTGCCATAATTTACAAACTTTCGATGCAGAAACTAAAGAATGTCCAGTTAAATTTGATAAAATTAATTCTTGAATTTCAATTGGAAATGAAGTCAAAACTTGCATCATTTTTATATTAAAATTTCTTAAATGAAAAGCAAAAAAAAAATTATAATTTAAGATTTGAAAATGCCTAATTTTTATATATTAGGCATAACGCACTTACTTTTAATAACCAAAATAAATCATTTTATATTATTGATTTCAAAAAAAAAATAAAAAACCTTTTTATCTGTAACGTATGGTTTTATTTCAGTAAAGTTTTTTTTTTTTTTTTTACAATAACAAATGACCTAAATTTCAATATTTAATTACTGAAATTTCTTAGTAATATTGAACAAGTCATTAGGAAATATTTTCGTATGTTATTATTATACGCATAAAAATTACATATTTTACTTTTTAAACAAAAAAATATTTTTCTTTTTAGACGGAAACAGATATTTTTAAATTGATTTTTATATATTAAATAAAAAAAAAAATTTTCTATGATAAAGCTATAATCACAATGCAAAATGTAATAAATAAATATAATCACACACAGGTATTGATAACAGAAATTATGATAACAAAAAAAAAAAAAAGTAAAGCAATGTTTATCAAACCCGTTCACACTATTTTTTATAAATTTTAAATATTTTCAATTCTGATAATTTAATCTGTAAATTTGAATGAAAGTGTTATTGAGAAATTTAAAAATGTAAAAGTGGAATTTTAATTTTAGCACAAATTTTGAAAGGAAATGAAAAGTCGTACTAATTTAATCTAAGGAAATGACGTATCCTGCCACTGTCTTACAACTGACGTGTATTTAGAATCAAATAGACATTTGATAACATTTGTAAATATCAATTTTTTAGTAATAAAAAAGTTATTTTTGTAAAAAAGTAGAATTATTAAGTTTATAAAAGCAACATGTACGAATCAAATAAGTATTCTTTTGATATCAATGATCCTAATTTCGATTCTGAAATTTTTTTACAAAAATCATTCAAGGTATGAAAAAAAAAATTAATAAACGTATCACCACATACTGTTATTTACGTATGATTAAACATGTATTTTTTTCTGTTTCTATCTTATTATTCAGGAATATTCATTAAAACAAATAATGAATTTAGAAAATGAAATCGTAAAGGACACAGCTTCTCTTCATTCTGACATGCAAACATTAGTGTATGAAAATTACAATAAGTTTATTTCTGCAACCGATACCGTACGCAAGGTATAAATTTCTATTTCATTATTTTGTTCAAATTTTTTTAATTTTTACTATTTAATATTTTTTCCACTTCCAGATTCAATATTTGTATTGTTTGAAATCTTAGTTTTAATAGTAATACAAATAGTTTCCAATTTTTTTTGTTAAATTATTAAAAAGGAAAAATATTCACTTACGATTACTTGAATAATATTTAAATTTTAAATTGTTTATAATTTTCTGTTACAAAAGTTAGTTTTTTTTTTTTGTTGATGCATATTTAAAAAATTGTTGTTAATACATTTTTTTTTTTTTTTTTTTTTTTTTTTTACTTTAGATGAAACTTGATTTTAAGCAAATGGAAGCAGAAATGAACTTACTTGCTAACAACATGAACTCGATTACTTGCTTTACTGAGCAAATTTCAAAAACTTTACAACATTCCAGAAACAAAATATCAAGATTATCATCAATTCATTCATTGTTAACAAGACTTCAGTTTTTATTAAAGTTACCGAATAAACTTAAAAAGCTGATTGAAGAAGATTGTTATGTTCAGGTGTAGTTATTTGTATAATTTCATAATATATTGGTAATGTTTCATATTTTATATATTTATAAGATTTTGTTTTTAAACAGGCAATCGAGGATTACTTGCAAGCTCAAAATGTATTGCAGCAATATGGACACATGCCATCTTTCAAAGGGATTCAAGCTGATATAGACATAATTTTGGATGGTTTGAAACAAAAATTACATGAGAAATTTAAAAATAGCAATGTATAATTATTTTTGATGTTATCACTTGAAGTAATTGTTAGAGTTTTATTTATCTGCATCATTTTATATTATTCTAGGCTAATTCATATGAATTGACAGAAACAGTTGGTTTATTACTAAAATTACAAGAACCAGGAAGTGCTTTGTGTAGTGAATTTATTTCATGTTGTGATAGAAAATTGAAAAATCAAATTAAAGAACTTAAATTAATGCAATTTCAAGATGTTATCGAGTTTATAGACTCCGTAAGCAATGGGTTTTTAAGTGATCTTTGTTCTGCTGTACATTTTTATACTGAGACATTTTTAAACAAATTTTATGCTGATGATAATACGTAAGTAATAAAATATAATGAGTATTTTATTTTTATAAGTAAAAAAAAAACTTTTTTTATGCCTAAGGAGTATAGCTGGACAAAAGTTGTTTACTATTAAAAAAAATTTTAGTTTATTTAAAAAATGTATTATTTATTTAGTCATTCATTTAAAAAATACAATTATTTTTTAATATGTCTAATATATGATTCAAAAAATTTTAAATTTTTTTTCAGAGAAGAATTTTTGGAGACTGCAAAATTACAATTGAAAGATTTAGTATGTAGAAATATGGAAATTTATTTTGATTTCGTTGAAGATGTTTTACAAAAAGAGCAAGATAAAGGAGACACAATTATATTGGTTAGAGCACTAGATAGGTTTTATAGAAAGCTACAAGCTGTTAATTTGCTAATTGTTGGAACTGATTTTGTCGAGTAAGATTTGATTTATTGTGAATTCATTTAAAAGTTACACAAATTTTAACTTTATTTTTTTAAATTTCAGTAATGGAATTGAAATTATTATACGTGCCGGTAGACGTCAATGCAAGACTCACCTTCAAAATTTAAAATCTCATTTCACTGATAGCATGACCAACATGCGTCATAATTTAGCATCTGTTAAAGTAGAAGTTCATGAAAATGAGAATACTTCAAAATTATCCGAATTATTAAATTGTATTATTACTACAACAACAGACAAATTAAAAAATGCACTACAAGACTTATTGGTAAGATTTATTTTCATTTTTATTTTTTACATCAAACTTTTTGCCACATTAAAAAATGAACACGTTTAAAATTATTACAACATTTATTAATAAAAATAAAAAAATTTTTTAAATTTTCAGGTGTTTTTACAGCCGGATTTAACATTTGGCTTAAATAGTAAATTCCAAGAAGTGTTTTGCGTGGATTCTATAAGAGAAGGAGTTGTTATAGGTTTTTTGCATCATTTAATGGCAACTGCACAAAGTTTCTGTGATAATCAAGGAGTTCCCTCAACATTATTGCTTGTTTTATCGAAATTCTGTTTAGTTTTTCAACAGTATTGGATTCATAATTTGGTAAGTAATAAGTCATTTATATCTTCTTTGGATTTCGAATCTGATTGTTAACTATTAAAAATTTTAGTTTAATAAATTTAACTATGGAATGAATATAAATAAATTTCAGGAAATTGTAATTTTAATTTTAGTTGTCACTAACCGATGAATGGTTTAATATGTCTGAGAAACCAGGTGCAGAATTATTAACGAGTGAAACTGAAATGTGTTCTCACATGAGAAATGCTGCTCAAAATTTAATCAATAGTTATGTTAGATCACAAGGTTTAAATGTTTCACAGGTTAGTTAAAAAAAAAAAATAATAATAATTTTGAGTATTTCTTATTTTTTTTTTTTTAAAATTCTATGAATTTTTCATAACCAGATGCTAAGAAAGTCTGTTGAAGCAAGAGATTGGTTGCATACTATTGAACCGAGAACTGTAAGAGCTGTTATGAAAAGGATTTTGGAAGATATTTCAGCAATGGAAGGGCAAGTTGGACTTTTATACGAAGAAGGACAAAGGTCAGAAAAAAGTTCGGATTCCAGTAGAAAAACTTTGGCTTACAGGTATGGTAAAATTTCATTAGACAAAAATTTTTTTTTTTATTTGAAATACTTTCAACGTTCTACCCATTAAATAAAGCATTGCAAAAAATATTTTTCACCTTTGTCTAAAATTTATATTTTAATAAATTTTTTTTAAGTCAATTGTCACGACAGCAAGTATATCGTTCAAACTGGTCATCTTATGCTCCAGGTCAAACAGGATTAGTTGCTAATATTCACAAGTTGTTTTCAGAAAAAATTGAAATATTTTCATCTGTAGAATTTTCAAAAATATCTATTCTACAAGGAATAATCAAAATAAGTTTAAAAGTAATAGGTTTAATTTAAACTTTTACAAAATCAAGATAAATAAATCCTTATACTAAATAATACATTTTATTTAATTATTTCTGTTTTTTTAGACTTTGTTAGAATGTGTTCGTCTAAAAACTTTTAGCAGATATGGTTTACAACAAGTTCAAGTTGATATTCATTACCTTCAATTACATTTATGGCGATTTGTTTCCGATGAAAAGTAAGAATTATTACATTGTTAATTCAACATTCTAAATTTGATTTTTAAAAATTATTACTTTGAAATTTTTAGCTTGGTGCACTTTTTGTTAGATGAAATTCTAAGCAGTGCAGTTCACAGGTGTTTGGATCCTGTTCTGATGGAACCAAGTGTAGTAGAAATAATATGCGAAAGAGGCTGAGATTAATTTTAATAAGAATTTAATTCAGTAATCAAAAGTAAATAACATATATATTATAATCTATATTAATTCTCATCATTCATAATCACAATTTTCTGGCCTCCATGGTTTTCTTCGTGTGAGAGAATATTCATTACGTGTATGATAGAACGAATAAGGATCATCAATATAATATTTTGGTTTCCTCCAAAATTTTGTTACCATTATATCTAGCATTTTGCTATTGTGTCTATTACAAAATACATGTTGTTGAAGTTTGATTTTTCGTCTATTTGATTTTTTCCAGAGTTTTTTATGCCTTCCAGCTATAGTTCGAATCCATATTCCCCTAAAGCAATAATTCCATTTTGAATTAATTAAAATTTACCTTTGTTTTAGGATAGACCAAAAAAAAGAGATGAAGAGTATTATTTAACTATTTTTACATACCAATGTAATCTAAAAAATCTATTTACTACACTTTTAACGCTTTTTCTAGTTCCATTTTTAAAGGAAAACTTTGTTAATGTTCTAGTTTGCATTAAATCCTTTTTGTTAGATAATAATGTTAAATTAGATTCATGATTATTGAAAATTCTATTGGTGATTGTTGAAAAATTAGAAATTCTATAGTTTGCATAACTATTAAAAAATGAAAAAGATTCAGAATTATTTTTTAACTTGTATGTAGATTTTAAAGAACTCTGTAGAAGATTCTTTGAAAAACCTTTAAAAAAAAAAATTATTTTATTAATGGTTTCTTTAAGAAATTAATAATAAACTTTTATAGTTTGTTTTAAAACATACTTTTTAAAATTGCAGCAAACATTTTATGTTGCAATTTATATATATTAAAATAAAATGATGAATAAAAAAAAAATTTTTTTTATTTTATTAAAATAAATTTCCCTGACTAAAAAACTTGTTACCAATAGACAGCTGAAAATTGAAATATTGGAGGCCGCGTACAACTTCAAAATTTACAGGCCTCAGGAAATTCTTCAAAAGAAATCTTTATGTTGTTTTTTTGGTGGTGTCTGCAAAATGTTACCAAATGCTCCGAAAATTCCTAGTTGTAATTTCATTTGGGTAAATATTTGTTTGTTTTAATGTTTTACTTTTTTTTACCAATACATTGTTTTATTTAAATTCTCGTAATAAATATATGAATTATGGTTCATGTGTAGTTAATGTTTTCGTTATTATTCTTTTTTTTTCGACTGCCATTTTTTAAATTTATTTATTAATTTGAATAAATATAGTAATTTATTTCATTTTATTTTTTATTATTTTTAAAAATGATTTGATTATCGATAATATTTATTATTTTCAATTATAAATTTGTATTTTAATTTATTTTTATTTTTAGAAAAGACATATATCGAGTGGGCCTTCGCGGTTATATCTAGTCACAAATTTTTATAGAAAAAGTGGTTTACTTAAACAAAAAACTCAACGACTTGGATTCCGATGTAAATATTCTACTGATCCATGTAATCCCTTGCCTCCTAATCTCAGGGCCAAAGGGCCTTGTCCTGAGCCTCAACCCAGGTTATTTACTGTTAATTATTTTTTTTTTTGTAATTATTTTTGTAAATATAAAATTAAATTTTTTTATTCATTATGACATGATAGTTGTGAGCCGCCACCAAAAAAGAAATCGAGAGGCTTTGCTACAACTTTGGCTTTAATTGGAGTTGGTACAGCAGCAGTTGTTGCTTATGCCAAATATGATTGTGAATTTAGAAACTATATAGAAGAACATGCACCTTTTTTTAATGAATTTATTAAAATTGCAACACAGGAAGACTATACATATGCTGAAAGTTGGGAAAAATTTGTTAAATATATTTTAAGCTGGTAAGTTTTTTCTTTTTTTTTTTTTTTTTTCAGGTTTTTAAACGAAAATAACCAAATTGATTAAATTTGAATTACCTAAATAATTACAGATGAAATTTTTTTTTTAAATATAGTTAAAAACAAAATTAATTTAAATTGTAATTAATAAATAATAATTAAATCTCTAAACAGAATTCAATGATTTAAAATTAAAATTCGTCTTAGCATTTAAAATGCTTAGAGGCATATATGAATACATTATTAAAATCGGTATCGAATACAAAATATAATTTAAGATTTTAAATGTTTAGATATAAAATACTTTATTTATCTTAAGTCTTTAGAAATAAATTCAATTTTTTTTTTTCAGGTTTGATTTTTCATCCAAAGGCACAAAAGAAAGAAAGAAAGGCCTAACTTGTCCACCTACCGATAAAAGCTATGAAGGTAAGCAAAATTCAATTAAATAATAAGCTTTTTTTTAATAATAATAATAATAATAATAACAAGCTAATATGCTTCATGCTTTACTTATTCAATATTTACAAATTAAAAGCTTGTACATTTAACAAAAAAATTTGAAGTTGCTTTTTTTATTATTATTTTTATTAAGACAATACATAATAATAATAAAAAAAAAAGAAAGTTATTCCCAAGTAAAATTGTTTTTGTTTTTCCACTGGTTTTAACCTATTAATTGAACGAAACAAAAAAAAAAAAAAGAAAATAATTTTTTTTTAAATAGCTCCCAAGTCGGCTTTTCAACCTCTTTTGGATGATGATATTGAAAAAGAAAAAGCTAAAAGAAAATGCCTTCCTGAGTCAGAAACCAAATACAATGAAATAAGAGTTGTTCAACCTCCCTCTCCTGAAATACCTAAACCTGATCCTGTCACAAGTAAGTTTAATTTTCCTTTATATTATTATACTTTCTTATTAACTATTTATTCTTAATAAAAAATCTTTCACTTCCTATTGTCGCTTTCTGTTTTCTTCTTTTTCATTCATTATTTTTATTTAAAAAACAAAAAAAAAAGTAAAAGAAAAAACTACCGGATAAAATTTGTTCAAAAGAACAAATTAAAATTTTTTTATAGAGTTTAGTTTCAAGCCTGAAAATAAAAAAGTGTGTTTAAAACATTAAACAATGTTACTTGTCTATTTTCAAGTTTTTTTTTTTTTTTTTTTAATATGTCGTTTTTGTTGAGATGAAAACAGAATTTGACACATTTAAAATTTTTCAAGCTTGAAACTAATGCATATTAATTCGAAAATTCCAGAAGAGGCTTTGGAAGAGGGGAAAAAAAAAGTCTGTAAGAAATGAAAAAGTTTTTGCGATTAAAAGAACGCGCCCCCCCCCTCATAAAATGAAGCTGTTACTAAATTAAATACATTATACACCTAACATTATCTTTTTTTTTTTTTTTTTTTAAAAAAGAAAAATTCTATGTGAAAATGCCTTTATAAAATTTAATTTTTTTTTTTTTTTTTTTTTTTTATTCCTCCCATAAATTTTAAAAAAAAAATTAAAAATCATAAAAATAATTTCGTTATTATCATTTTCGTTTTTTCTTTTATTTTTCTAGGGTAAGTTTAATAATAATAATATTTATGTAAATATACCTTAAAAAAAAAAATTTTTTTTTTTTTTTTTAGTCAATAAGGGGCTAAATTAACTAAAATTTATGTTTTTGTTTTTCTAAAAAGATAAAATAATAAAGATTTAAAAAATAAAAACAAAAAAATATTTTTAAAGAAAAGCAAAAAAAAAAAAAAATTAATAATAATAAATAAAAATAAATTAATTTATTTAGTTTCTCATATATTACATGCTAAGGATAAAAATAGGAAAAATTAATTATGGTTGTTAAGGATTTCAAATTTAAATTAATTTTAATAAATATATTTTATAAATTATATTTTTAATCCTGATAATTAATTACGTTACATTAATGTTATTTATTCGTAAAAAAAAAATGTAAAACGAGTAGTATAATTTAAAAAATAAATAAATAGTTAATTAATTTATTTAAACTAAACATTGGGTTAAATTTCAGTTGAAGAAACGTCTCGAAAAGCCAGCCAGGATACGAAAGAATTGGTAGAAAATTTGCCTGAATTTCATCCTAAAAATATTGTCGAATTAGAAAAACATATTGGAGAAGCTGCAAATGAAGCTGTTAAAGCATATTATAGTGCTGTTTGCGTTACAAAAGGTAATTAATATTTAAATTTGTAAAAAAAATAAATATTATCATGGAGGTAAATTAATAAGTTTTTTTTTTTTTTTTTAAATTTCAGATTATGCTGAGCAAATTTACAAACTTTTGGAGACTAAAATCGATAAGGTTGATCACGATTTTTGGTGTGCTCTAAAAAAAAAAACCGAAGAAAAAGATAATTTGATAAAAGGAGCCGAAAGAGCGGCTGCATTAGCCAAGTAAGTTAATTAGTACGCATTTGGTCTTTTTCTTTTCATTCCACTAAAATTTATTTAATAATAATTAATTGATTTTTAATTACAGTGAGAAAATCAACAAATTACAATCGATTTTAGATGATCCTGCTTTTGGCGCACCAGATTCATTAAAAGTTCAAGCCAAAAGAAATATAGCTAAAGTATTAAGAGATATTGAAAGATCTAGAAGAGAATTAAATGCGGAAAAAGAACGTTCAAGTGTGACTGAACAATATTGGCAAAAAGTGGAACAAGCAAGGAGGCATTTTCAGGTTGGGGAGGGGGAAGGAAAAACTATTAAACTCAAAGGATTTAATAAATCTTTAAAGAAACTTTATATCAATTTCATAAGTTTTAAATTTAGTAATGGTAACATAATCTGTAAAATAATTTTTTATTGGATTTTTTTTTAGGATGAATTAGAAATTTTATTCCCATCTTTAAAAATTGAAGAAAAAAAATTTAATTTAAAACCAGGGGAGCTTGATTTGTTTTTAGTACACGTTTATCATCATATTGTATATTATCAAAAAGAAATTAGTAAACTAGAAGTAAGAATTATTATTTTTTATTTTATTCTGGAAATGTATTTATTGTGTGATTCAAAATGGCGATTCATTCAAAAACATTCCATTTTATAAATTCATTTTCATTATATTTTGTTACAGACGATCGGTGAATTGCGAATTAAAGAAGCCTTACAAAAAAGTGGTGAACGTTTAAATGAAGAGGCACTCACGGCTAGAGTGAAACAAGAAGTGGAAAAAGAAAAACGGGATTTATTCCAAGAACTTCAAAGAAAAGTTAGTTTTTATTTTTATTTTTTTTTTTTTTTGTTATAAATATGGATAATATGATATTAAAAAAAAAAAAAAAAAAACAGTAGGTTCAATAGGTTTTGATAAAATACCTTAATTTTACATATAGATCCTTGATGTAAAAGCAGAACAAGAGAAAACAATTAAAGTTCAAATGAAGAGACAATTAGAGGCGGCCGAAGATTATTTGCACGATGCGATAGAGGCTAAAGAAATAGAAATGGCTCGTAAAAGTCAGAGAATGATCGATGAAAAAGTAGAAATGGAGAAAAATGCATATAAAGTTAAACTTGCGGAAATGGTGGGACGAATGCAAGGAGTTGAAGCTGCACTCTCAAGTTTGTAATAGAATTCTACGGTGACTGAAACATTTTAATAATTTTTATATTAATTTTTCCGTATTTAATAATTCGTTAAAAGGTCGTTTGGCAAGTGATAAAATGGCGACTCAAGCTCAAGTTTTATTTTCTGCTTGCCAGTCTTTCTATAGAGCTTTACGGGTAGGAGTTCCCGGTGTTCATTACTCAAAAGGTTTAAGACCTTTGGATGTAGAAATTGCTGCGATACAAAAAGCTGCCGGTAATATTGAATTTTTTTATTTTTATTTTTTTTTTTTTTTCACGCTCAAATTAAATTAAAAATTGTTTCTTGTTAAGGAAAAGAAGATACATTAGTTGGTGCGGTTATAAACAGCATACCGGAAGAAGCACGTAAAAGAGGAGTATTTCCGGAAATAGCGATAAGAGAAAGATTTTTAAAAGTGGAGAGAACGGCACGAAAGCTCGCTCTTGTGCCAGACGGTGGTTCCTCCTTGCCTCGATATTTTTTGAGTTATCTTCAAAGTTTTTTGCTTTTTAGGTCTGAGAACCCAATCCCTTCTGCTGAACTGGATGATCAACCTGTAGACATTAGTAAACTTGACACGTATGACATTTTAGACAGGTCTAGGTTAGTTTTAAAAATTATTAGAATAATAACTGAAAACAGAAAATTTTTATGGATTTTTTTGAATTTTTTTTAAAATCAATGATTATTAATTGAAAAATTTTGATTTTATTTTATCAGATATTGGTTAGATAGGGGTGATTTTGGGATGGCTCTTAGATATATGAATTTACTTAAGGGTGCCCCCAGGCAGGTGGCATGCGAATGGATAAATGAAACTAGGATATTTCTCGAAACGCAGCAAGCTGCTGATACATTAATGGCATATGCAGCTGCTACTGGTCAACAGTACACATAAATTAAGAAATGATAACCGAAGAAAATATATGTTTCACTTTAAATTATCACACGTCTTGCAAATAATGTGAATTAAATTCCCTGTTATTCTTATTATTATTTTTATTTACATATATTTTGGTATTTTCGCCCATGGGATTACGGTGTCGATTCGTATTTGAAACTTATTTAAACTTTTTTCTTTTTTTTTCTTTTTTTTTATTTAGTTTTTTTTATTCTTTTATCAGTAGAAATGTATCATAAATCTAGTTATGATTTGTAACTTCAATTTGCAATGGCTTCACTCAATAATTTTTGCGACAATTAAACAAAAAAAAAAAAAAAAAAAAAAAAAGAAAAGGTCAATCAATAATCTTATATAGTCATCATCTGTTATTCTGTATGATTTCTTTTTTTCTCATACACATTTGTAAAGTAGCTTAAAAAAACAAAAAATGAATCAATCAGATTAACATCTACCTTACATCTCCTTACAACTCATTTTATTTATTGTATATTTATGATAAAAAAGATTTTACTATAATAGATATTTTATTAAAATTACAAATTAAACATGAATTCAAAAAAAAAAATTAGAGGGAGTTTGGATTTTATGAATTAAATTGGATTTGTGATATACAAAAAAAATTTAACGTTTTAAATCAATTTTTAAACAACATGCAAAAAAAAATTAATACCAGCTTGAATTAAAAAAATGCTTATGTAGGCTTTTATTAAACTTGACGTCAGCAAAGTTTAATTTATGGAAAAAAAAGTAAAAAAAAAATAAATAAATTTATAATGAGTTCCTGTAAAATTTGTAATATACTGCATTGTAACCTTTATAAAATCTTTGAAAAAAAAAACACGTTTAGATATGATAAATTATTTATTCCTCTCCAAAAAAAAACTAGTCAAAGTATTTTCTGAACATATTTACTCATTAAAAACAAAATGAATAATTTTTTGCGTGAATTAGGACGAAATGAGAAACGAATTAAATTTTACGGTAACCACACAAACCGGAAATACATAATAAAAAAAACGGAAAAATTAATCAAGAACAATTTGTTCATTTTTTTTAAAAATTGCGTTCTATAATATGGCAAATTAAATTTGGTTTATGATTATTTTTATTCTTCACTTTTAAAACAAAAAAAACTTGTTACAATGAGGACAAATAATTTACTAACAAATAAAAAAATTCTAATCAAATTTTATTTAATTATAAACATAAAATTAAAATTAAAATTTTTGAGTATTTATAAAAAAAAAAAAAGAAAAATTCAAAATTAATTTAAAAGAAATATTTACATATATTAAAAACAATACCTTACAATTATTTTTAACTTTAAATAAATTATAAAGTTTTGCTTTTTTTTCTTACAATTAATCATATAAATTAGAATAGCATTCCTGGTAAGTTTGAATATATGCTTCTTTTTCCGATGGAGTCATTTGAGATATTATTCTATCATCTACTTGGGTTACTGGAATTGGTTTACCTCCTACCATTACAACAGGAGCATTATCTTCATCATCTGAAGACATTGCATCAACATCTAAAATAAAATTTGATTGGAAATTGTATTAATAAACAAAATAAAAAACTAATTTGACTAATAAAAGCTAACATTATTGACAAGGGATTAAATCTTACCTTTATTTACAGAATTAAAAGCTGCTGGTTCATCATCACTAGAATCACTCGAATCATTTTTCTTAATTGCTCTAACTGCATCTGCTTTACTTTGCTCTTTTTTCTCATGTTGCAGTAAAACAGACATTATATCTTCTCCAGTCTTATTAATTGGTTTTTCGTTTGTTTCAACAGCAGGTAAGTCACTTATATGTAAATCAGGTTTATTCTCTATTATATCTTGATTTATTATTGTACTCTGAGTCATCCATACTGGCCTTTCCTTTCTGGATGTTTGATTATGCAATGGATCTTCACCGATTGTTATATCCACATGAGCTTCTTCAACTTTGAAACCCTGGTTTCGAGTTAATTCTCCAGACCATTGTTCATTACCACTTTTTGAGATTTGATTAGATTTTTTGTCACTTCCTTTAATAGAACTTATATCCACAGGCTCAGGTTCTAAAAGTTCTGGTGCTAACTTTATACCTTCAACCTGTCTAAGTAATACAAATAGAGGTTCTAATTGTTCATTAAATTTGGCAAGTAATAACCTAGAATCTTTTTTCGGCAAAGCAGATTGATCTTCTTCTACTTCTTGTTTACAATGGGTGCACAAGAATTGTTGAGTGAACATGTCATATAGCTGATCTGCCTAATTGTGAAGTACAAATTTTCAGATGATTAAAAATAATAATAAAAATTACAAGTAAATATATTGTATACAATTACCTCTAAATCCGTAAATGTTTTTAAACAGTTAGGACATTTAAAACTTGCTCTGCTAGTAGCATCTCTTTCTTCAGTTTCCATTCTTTTACGCATGAGATCTAGTTTATATTTTACTACATTAACGAAAGTCTAAAAAAGCGATTTTAAATTAAGATAAAACTACATTAGAATTCAATATTTAATTTATAGAGATTAAGGGAGATTATTAACCTTATAATTAATGAAATAATAATTAACTTTTTGCGCCTTTCCATCGAACCCTGTTTCCATTTTAAGTCGTACTTGTATAAATTTATCATTCTTCAAAGTAGCAATTTTAGATCGAAGCATTTTTCTTTCAAATTTCAAGAGTTCACATATGTCATCTTCTTTCATACAAGGATTACGAACCAACATATCAACAATTAACGCATCTTCTATATTATAAAACCCTCTGACAACGAGACGAGCCAATTGCTTTAAGCTACTAGGAATTTCAGTTACATATTGTTCTTCCATTATTATTTGAAGTTTACCACAAGTTTTTTTTTTCAATAGTTGGCACCCTGTAATAACTTACTGACCGTTTATTTGTACGTGAAAATATATAACGTATTTCTATTGGTAAAAATAAAATGTACACTTAATTTTATAGAATCAATTTTACTATAGTTAATTCAACACAAGGATAATTAATTTATGTCAGTCTGAATGGTTTATAAAAATAATATAACGATATCAAGAGAATTAAATTATTAATTATATATATTAATAAAAAATAAAAACTACTTATATTTATTTAAAGTAAAATAAAAAAAATAAAGTGCCGTATAAACAAAAAGAATTAAAATAAATTTTTTCACCATAATTTTTAGAAAAATATTTGTTTTTAAGTTTTTTTTCTTGAGGATCTTCTGATCCACAAGGTCCGTGAGTCAGTGTGGTTTTTCTAGTTGAGCTGGGATTATATCCGGGAATGTAGAGGCTCGGAGAATATAATTTACCATTGGCCATCAATATACTAAAATCTTTTTCTAATTTATTTGCTGCTGGTCCTACAAAAATTATAAACATGGATTTTAATGTGAATGTAAATTAATTTTTACAAGCAAATTAATATTGAAAAAATCTTAAGAAAATGGAGTAACTTAAATTTTTCCTAATTTGTGCGTTACCTTTAAAATGCATTAAAAACTGAATACAATTTCCATTATATAAAAGTTTGGTTTTTCTAGCATCAATGGTTACAAACCACTCTGGAACTCCCATTATTTCTCGAACTTCGTCCAAAAATGCAGCTGCCACAAATCTTGGTGTTTTCCGTATATTTACGTATTTAATAATATCCTTATCCGGTTCGATATTGGCACACGCAAAACGATCACCTCCTCGATTCGGTGTGAAAATAACTATAGATCTCCCCATAACAGATATGTCTCCCTCTTTAAAAAATAATCATTAAATTTAAAATTTACATTATTTCGAATAATTTCACTTAACTCTTAATTATTCTTACCTAATGGAACGTTTAAATCTGAAAAGATTTGTCTTTTCCCTCCGAGGTTAATCGTGCCCAAACGCGCCGAAATATCACCCAAATAACATCTAAAGGGATTATCTGGTCCGCATTCTTTTTTATAAAGTTCTTCGTTAAGTGGATCGGCTAGTTGAGTAAAATAAGGATTCCAAACATATCCTCCTGCTGTACAACGGGTATTTAAAACCTTGACGGATGCGTCTACACTTACGGGATTCACATAAATAGCCCAATTATGATTTATCGTATAATTTTTATCTTGTTTTCCAGGATGACGCAAATTTACTTCGATTACAGAATCACTTTTGGCTCCATCTTTATATATAAGTTGGGTCTAAAAATTAAGTTTTGAAATTACTAAATATATAACATTTTCTAACGAAAAATAACGCAATAAACCCACTATTCGAATGTAGCCGTAAGCAAATCCATTAGGATGATGAAACGAAGCTATGGCTCTTAATTCCCTAGCTTCAGAAGGCGAATATCCCCTTTCAATAGATGCGCAGACCCATCTTCTATTTTTTAATTCCTTGTGTATAACAATACTTCTTCCCAAAATACTCTCAGAGCCAAACAGTGTCATGGATGAATCATTGTAATGTGCTATTACAGTGGTTTTATTTTCAAAACTTTCAAATTTACCACTTAAATCACCAACTTCATATTCATCTGGAGTCCCATGCTTTGGAGATGCGTTTGGATTTACTAGACGTGGATTAAAGTGCCCGTACACAGTTGAACCTTCACAAGGAAATTCAAGTTCCTCTTGAACTGGTGCCTGTGAAAATAAATTTGAACTTGAATTTAGAGCTTTTAAAAATAAAACCAGTATTGTTTTGTGGTCAAATTGTGTGAAAAAGTTTTTAAAATGCTTACTATGTGTATATGATAACCCTTTGCCGATACCAATCCCTCGACTGAAACATCAATGTTAGTGATGTCATATTTTGTTTGTTGAAGAAATTCAAATTTTCCTGACACCGGCGAAGGTTCCCCATTACCGTGCCAAGACTTAACCACAGCTTTCCTTCTGTATATTGGTATAATTCTAAAATTATAAAAAAATAATTTTTTATAATGAAAATTAAATAACTATTTTTATAAATAGTTTTTTCACTTTTAACTTATTAAATTACTTTGAACAAGCTAATCTATCTCCCCTGGCTACAGGACCGTGGTCATCATAAATAACTAATGATCGTCCGATTATGCTACTACTTCCACCCAAAGGAAGGTTTACATCAGTAAAAACTTTGCGGGATATTTTTTTCGATGTTTTCTTTCCTCCAGCTATGTTAAAAAACCCTTGTTTTCCAGACATATCTCCCAAGCGACAAGCAAATAAATTATTAGGTGAACACGAAGACTCTTCTTTATTTAACGATAAAGGAATCTATAAAACATTAACATTAAAAATATTTTAAAAAAAAAAAAAAAAAGAATGAAGTGTAAAATAATTTTAATTTGATAATCACAATTTACCAACTTTGTAAGGATTAAATATTTCGCCAGAACTTAAACACCTTTTAGTCCAGTTATAAAAGTCTTTTCCAGGAGGATGATCATTAACACTCCATCTATGTTCGAACGTGTCATTCACATTAATTCCATCCGCGTGTATCTGTAGGGTAATTATAAATTTAAAACGATGTAATTTAAAAGTACGTTTTAAAAATTATTATTATTATTAATACCAAGTATTCCACGATGATTGTAGTGTCTGTCCACGGTTGATTTTTGGGTTGACGAAAAATTATTGAACCCACTATGGGATATCTAAATATTACAGAAGCTGAAGACATAGGTACAGCTATTGCATTATTTCCACCAGATGTGTATTTCATTAAGTTCGCACACACCCATGCCAAAGTATCATTTTCAACATTTCTAAAATTTTTTAAAAGTGTAAATAAAATTGTAAAATTTTGACCAATAAAAAAATTTTATAAAAGTTACCTGTACAGTACTAATGATCGATGAACAATACTATTACGTCCAAAAAGGGGTAAATTAATATCCCATTTTGAAATAACTGAGCCGAATTTATCCAGACTTCCATGTTTGCCACTTAGATCACCGATAGCGTAAACATCTAGAGAACCATCTACTTTATCTGCAGAAGTAGGATTAAAAAGATTTCCTGTTTGTGAGCAATCATTGGCAGATGATTTATCAGATAAATCTACTGGATATTCATTAATCTGATAACCACTGAAGAATATATTTTTATTTGAAAGGGAAGAAATATTGAAAAACAACCAAGTAGGATCCAATTTTGTTCTTTGAGATATTGTTACAGTTCCCTCAATACCTTTTGATTGAATTAAAGCCCTGTAAAAAATAAATTTTTGTAATGAAGAAATTTACAATTGGAAAATATTTTTTTAGAATAATGAAACAAAAAATATAAAGCTAACTTTACAATTACAGGCTTGTGATAGCGAATTTTGGAACATGCAAGAAAACTATCCTTGTGACGATCATCAAAAAGAACAAGGTATAAACTTCTACTTCCACCAATTAAATCTGCTGGAAGAGATGACAATTCTTGATCTCTAAAAATGGATTTTGAAGTTTTAGAAAATTGCTCTTTGATGTCCACCACTGTAACTTCTCCTAGTCTAGATGTAAGATCGCCGATTGCTGTATTTGATTCGTCAAGATTTAAGACAATTTGCAAAAAATCACATTTTTCACGCGCTTTATCTAAAAAAAAAAAATACTATAGTACCCAGAGCTCATGTAATACATAACAATGTCAGAATGAGTTTACATTTTTTTTTTTTAAGTAAAAAGCGAATTACCAGCTTCAGAATCTAAAATATCTGTAACAAATATTTTCCATCCATGTTTTGAAGTTGTGTGATTGGTCACATGTATTAAATTGCTGAATATAACATTATCTGAAACATTATGTTTATAACTTCCAGCCCATCGAAAGTAAATGGAACCAGATACAGGAAAGTGAAATTTTGCTTCAGCTACTCTTTCCTCATATTCATCTGTAACCTGGGTTTACGAAAAAAAAAAATTATTATTATATTTTCGTGATGAATAAACTGAAAAAAAATATTTCTAATGAAAACTCACAGATATGGTACCACAGGCTTTCAAACCTGATGGGCTTAATAAAACTAATGAATGACCCCAAATACCATTTTCCCCAACTAATGAAAAAGTTTCATTTCCAGTTTCGAATTCAAAATATGTTTGGTTTAACTCCACAAAAAATGTAATAGGCCCAAATAAATTACCCAAGTCAATTTTACTATAAAAAATTTGTTTTGAAAAAACCTATATTCAATACTAATTTATAAAAAAAAAGTTTTTTTTGCACTTACAGATCTCCAATTGCACTTCTGTCACATCTGCTTTTAACTTCCAAAGAATAATCAACTGGATATTCAGCTATATACCAAGTCCATGTTTCATTTTCTGCCAGAATGTGTTTGTGAAATAGATTAACAGTGACATAAATAGATTTTCCTATTATTTTACCATCGCTAAAAGGATCTTGATAAAATGTTATTTCTCCGTGAATTCCATTCTGAGATATCAATGAAGTCAAATGAAGGCCAAAGCAAATGTTAAATTCTGTAACATTGTAGATTATGACTATTTTATAGATATATAATTTTTAAAAATTGACTTTTAACTTCCATCACTTGCTAATAAACTTAAGTCACTTGTTTAGTTATTTCTTGTATTAAAAAAATATTAAAAATCTTACCTAAAAATAAAGGAATAATGAGAAAATATAACGTTTTTTGTAACATAATTGCAATAAAATTTATTTTCAAGAGTACAATATGTAGCAGACATTATGGCTAATAGATACCTTAATTGAGGACAACTGGAGTATGAGGTTCTACCAATTACGTCATTACTCATGACGTCACAAATAAGCGTTTTTAACTTGAAAGTTTTTTTTTTTATTCAAGATGGTATGTTTACAATTAAATTTTGTTTTTTATTATTTAAAAAAAAAACATTCAGTATAATTTTTGTGAATTTAGTTTTTTCTTTCATTATTAATAATTATAATACTTTATTTAGATTTGCTTAATTTCGTATTATTATTTTACAGGAGAAAGTTTTAAGGAATAAAACAAACAGGAGCCATAAGAGATGAATTTTTTTAAAAAATTTTGGTAAGTAATAAATTTAATATTAACATAATAATTAAAATAAGGTCTTGAAATATTAAAAACCTTATATTATTCAACTTTTTGTGGATGTGGTGATCATAAATAATTTATTAGGTATTGTAAGTAATAGTTTTTATTTTTAAAAAAATCATTGAGTTATATAATTAAAACATGAGAGCTTAAATAAGCTGCGTCACTAATCACGACGAGCTTATTGATACTATGGTTTAAAAAAAAAAACAGTAAAATGACTAATATTAAAAATATCTTGGCCCTATATAAGGAGCTTCAAAATAAAATATTTTTCCTTCCCTTCTTAACTTTTATAGAACATCAGATGAAAATTTTTAGACCTGCCAGCGCCGTACTAAGTTAAATTGTGTTGATCAAATTGTTACTGAAGATTGGTCTACCTTAATTCACAATTTCCTAGACTTCTACTTTAAAAGAACTAATTAGACAGAAAACATTCAAAGACAATTAACAAAAATGAGTGAAAAAATAAACTTAAAACAATGTAAAATTTAAAAGTTCTACTGTTGAATGAATCATTTGTTATTAATTAAAAAGATTTTTTGTTTTACTATAAAACCTAAATGTATTTATTATAGTTTTTGCTTTTTTTAGAGAGACATAAATGTAAGATACTGTATAAAACAAAATAGTACATATTATAATATTTTATATGAATGTCTACAGCATTGTGTTATATTTGCTGTAAAAAAAAAAAATATTTCAATTAATTTGTAATAAGCTGAAACCGACCCTTATTTAAATTTGTGCCCAAGAAATTTATTTTGTATAAACTAAAAATAAGTTTTCTCATTTTAAAATTAATATAAGGTTGTTCCATTTTTTTTTTTTTTGCTTTCCTCTAAAAATAAAAATATATAAAAGTGTTCAGTTGGATTTAGGCTTTTCTGTAGTAATCATCTTTTGAATTTTTCAACTGATACATAATGGTAAGGTTCATCTTTTCTTTTTCTTTTTTTAATTTAAAAAAATTTTATATTTGATTATGTTAAAAAATTTAAATAATTATTTTTTTTTCCCCCCAATATTTTAATAACTAAAAGTTATTGAAAAAAAAATGTATAATTAATTTTCATAGATTTATGAATATTTTTTTTTTTTTTTTTTGACACAAGTTTTTAATAAAAATTTTTTTTTTTTAAATTTAGGCTGATAAAGAAAAGAAGGTTAAGAAAACCAAAAAGAAGGAAGAAGCAGAACCTGAACCAGAACCAGAAGTTAAAAAGCCTTCAGTAAAAGCTTCAACCGGATCATCTAAAAGAGCTGCTAAGAGAACTGGATCAAATGTGTTCTCTATGTTTTCTCAAGGTCAAATTGCTGAATTTAAAGAAGTTAGTTTTATTTTTTCTTATTTTCTTTTTCCTTTTTTTTTTTTAAATCATTAGGAATTTACTAAAAAAAAAATGTATTTTTTAATATTTAAGGGTTTCCAAATGATGGATCATGATCACGATGGTATCATTAGCAAAAGTGATCTTCGTGCAACTTTTGATACAGTTGGAAAATTAGCCAATGACAAAGAATTAGATGAAATGATAAATGAAGCCTCTGGACCCATTAATTTCACACAAATGTTGACACTTTTTGCCAATAGAATGTCATCAGGAGGAGGTAAATTATTTTCAACTATTTTTTTTTCTATAAAATTGACAATATTTCATACATAAATTTATATTTTCTATTTTCAGTCGCCGATGAGGATGATGTCGTCATCAATGCTTTCAAGTCATTTGACAAAAACGGCTATATCGATAGCGAACAGTAAGTAAAAAGTGTAATCATTAAGTAAATAAAAAATACTTATTGCAGAAGATTATTTCCGTAATTTTAATTTTTAAACAAAAAAAAAAAAAGCATTTTCAATAATGTTGCATAACAAAAAGGCAAATTTTTATATAAAATTCAATGAATACATGATGTAGAGATAATCCAACACGACGATCTAAAACCGAACGGTTTTGTCATGAAGTAAAAATTTTTAAGCTGAAATATTTATTAATTAGTATTTATAAAACAAAACAAAAAAAAAATGTATATTTTTTTTATTCAATATGGAATGTAACTTTCAATGTCGATATTTTTCAGATTATCTCACGCTCTCATGACCTGGGGAGACAAATTCACTCAAAAAGAAGTCAACGAAGCCATGGATGCTTGCGACGTAGACGATGATGGTGAATTTTTTAGTTTAAAAAACAATCTTTTTTTTTAAATAAATGTTTTTAATAATAAATTTTTTTTTCTAGGCAAAATCAACACCCAGGCTTTAATAACCATGTTGACAGCTAAGGGAGATGATGAAGAAGAAGGTGCTGCCGAATAAACAGAAAGATTTATAATATTGTCATTGAAAGATCATTATTGGATGGATTGTTTATCTGTGAGAAACAAAAACTTTTATTTCAAAAATAATATTTTGATTTTAAATACATAATAATTATATATATATCAAATCGTCGTATGATAAACAGAATTGTTAATCAATTATAATATATAATGAGTTATTAATTTCAATTTTAAATTGATCCTTTTTGAAATTTTTCAACCAATCCTTTTTTAAAGTCATTTTAATTTTAGGTACTTATTTTTTTTTTTTTTTCCAATCAGTTTATTTAATTTACTTTGTACGTTAATAATGTTCGTAATACTGAAATAAATTTACTGCGTTGAATTTAATATAAATTTATATATAAATTATTTTAAAATTGAAGTTATTATTAAAGATTGGTAAAATTTTTATTTTATTATTAACAAAATATCATTAGATATAAAATTGTCATTAATGCATTTTATTGTGATTAGAACATCAAGCTTATCAGCGCTTATTTTTACATTAAGTGTACGGCAAAAATATATTTTAATTCAAAAACAGGTTTAAAAAAAATTAAATAATTTTTATTTATTGTTTTCATAGCTTTAATGTGAATACTCAGTGGTTTCCAAAAGTAGGTCATATTATTTTAAAAATCTGAATAAGCGCAAAATGTGACGTTTGTGTCGTGTCATTAGTTAATGAAATTAATAAATTAACTGGATAAAATGGATGACATTACTGATCAACGAAATTGCATGATACTGCAAGTACCTTATTTTATTGTGTTTTATTTATTATTATTGATAAATTTAACTGTTATTTATTTTACTGTCTTGTTATGCTTTTAATCACAACCTTTACTTAATTTTCAATCATTATTTATATTTCTTATTTTTTGTAGGTATGTTACACCAGAAAAATTTTTCCTGGGAAAGTATGGCACTTCAGATGGGCTGATAGCAATAGACCGAGTCACTCAAGAACTGAAATTTTCAGGTGAGTTTTTTTAATTTAATATTCAAAAATAAATATATTTTAAAATATTTCATAATATTAATTTTTGGTATACCTAATTAATAAAATCTCCAGTTTTTTTATTCAATCAAATTTTTTTTTTGTTACAGTTCATAAAATTGAAGTACCACCTTGTGCTCAGCATAAGGTCATTTTTGGGGTGATTGGAACGATTAAATTAATAGCTGGAAACTATTTAGTTGTAGTAACTGGTAGAAAGAAAATAGGTACTATTAATGGTCAAACAATTTGGACTGTTACAAACACTGAAGTATTGTCGTATACTAAAACTAATTTACATTTAAATGAAAAGCAGGTACATATTTTAATAAAATTTAAAAGATAATATTGATAATAAATTTTATTATGGTATTTAAAATTTTTTCAGATTACTCACAATGGAACCTACTTAAATATGATTAAATTTGTCTTATCTACTCCTTATTTATATTTTTCATATTCTTATGATTTGACAAATACTCTGCAAAGACTACAACATGCTAATCCAAAATTTAAGAAGGTAGGTAATAATCGATATTACTGATTTAAATTATTTGTAGTGTATTATAATATATTGCTTAAAATTTACATAAAAGCATATTTTTATTTATGTTTTACTAACAGTTTAAATACATGTGCAAAATCACAAAAACTGAAATAATCATACTTTTATTTTAATCTCCAATCGTTTGTAATTATTTTTGTTAATTTCAAAATAATAAAACCTCTGGTAAATTTGTTTTTAAATTGCTGTAGGTTCCTCTTTATGAAAGAGCTGATCCAAGATTTTTGTGGAATAAGCATTTATTAAGAGAATTTTCTCATTATGAAGAATTTTCAAAATATTGTCTTTCTTTACTGCATGGTTTTGTATCTATTAACCATTGCACTATCAATGGTAACAGTTTTAAGTGGATTTTAATATCACGTAGATCTGTTTACAGAGCAGGTGCCAGGTATAAACTTTCTGAAAGTTCTTAAGAAACGTTTTACTCATACTTGATTTGCAAAAGATAAGCCAAAAGTTTTTTTTTTTTTCAGGTTGTTTTCCAGAGGAGTAGACAAGGATGGGAATGTTTCTAATTATGTAGAGACGGAGCAAATTGTGGAATTTAATCATTGTAAGGGTTCATTTGTTCAGGTAATATTTTTATAATCCTGTAGCTATTTTGTTTTTCTAAATAAATCCCAAATTATAATTTTTTTTTACAGACGAGGGGTTCAATACCTTTATTTTGGCATCAACTTCCTACTCTTAAATATAAGCCTAAGCCAAAATTACTTATTTCCGATTTACATGCAGAAGCATTTCAAAAACATTTTGATTCTCAAATATTTCATTATGGAAAACAAGTTATAGTCAATCTTATAGATCATGTCGGAGCTGAAGAGTTATTAGAAAAAGCTTACAAGCACCACTGTCAAACGCTAGGAAATGCTAATGTGAGGTAATTTTTAAGAAATTTTTTTTTTTTAATCATAATCGATCTGTCATTAATAGCAAGTTTAATAGCAACAAAAATATAATTAAGTAGTAAACTTAAAATAAGTTTTTTTTTTATAATTTTATCAAATTCAATTTTCCAGGTATGAGGGTTTTGATTTTCATCATGAATGCCGAAAAATGCGTTATGACCGTTTGTCAATTTTAATCGATCGATTGGCTCACGAACAAGATGAATTTGGATATTTTTTAATAAACAATGATGGTATGGTTATTTCAGAACAGGAAGGAATATTTAGAACAAATTGTATTGATTGTTTGGATCGTACAAACGTTGTACAAAGTTTATTGGCCGAAAGAAGTTTGACGTTAATTTTACAGGTAATCATCATTTATTATCAAAAAAATTAACTTTTTAAAATTATTATTTAGTAATTTTTTTTTTTTTTAAATAGAAATTGAATATTTTGAAACCGGATCAAACTATTCGCAGTCAGACGGGATTTGAAAAACGTTTTAAAAATGTTTGGGCTGATAATGCTGATGCCATAAGTATCCAGTACAGTGGAACTCCAGCTCTTAAAACTGATTTTACCAGAACTGGAAAGAGAACTCGTTTGGGTATTATTAAGGACGGTGTTAATTCTTTAACTAGGTGGGAATCACTTTAATCACTTAATAAATTTTGAGTTTCATGACAAAACTTTCTTTTGTTTTAAATATATATATATATGTATATATATATAAATGTAATGTTAATTTTTTAAAGGTATTACAAGAACAATTTTGCTGATGGTTTTCGCCAGGATGCAATTGATTTATTTGTCGGTAACTATTGTATACTTGATGGAGAAGGTACAACGAGAATATGTCCCTTGAAAAAAGAAAAAGGATGGAAATATTTTACTGTAAGTTTACTTTTCATATATTTGTACAAGGTTTATTCTTCACCATGTGTGTGTGGTCAGTATTTCATTAAATACATTTTCCATCTTTTTTTTTTTTGTTACAGTTTCCAATAGTTTTCTTTGTTGCTGTCTCTATGTTTTGCGCCAATGTAATTTCCCCTGCTGAATATTCCACCGAAACCCTTTTGTATTTGTTATTTTGGGGTTCTATGATTGCAGGAACTGTAACAACCATTTTTAATTACGGTAAAGAATTTGTTGATTATCCAAAACTTTTTGAAAAATAAAAAAAATTATCTAATAATTATTAAAATAATCAATTTTTTAATTTTTAATTTTATTATTATTATTATTATTGTGTAGTATTTAAGGAACTGTGTAAAGAAAAAGTTATTAAGGAATTGGTAGTTACAAAAAATACATTTAATTTAAAAAAAAAATTATATAAATTTAATTGGTTTTCCATTGTTAAATATTTATATAAATATGTAAATTAATTAAAATTATTAAAACAAAAACAAAATTAATATAGATAAGTTTTAGGAAATTGTATAATAATAATAATAATAATTAACTTTTATTTTCAGATTAATATTTATTGTGATTAAATAATTTATTTTTAGGCAATTTTTTGTTTTAGAGGTATTGCGAACCATAGAAATAAATGAGTTAAATATAATTGAAAATTTAATTTTTAACAAATATATAAAATTTTAAAATATTAGGAGTTGAAATAAATTTATGGTTCTTAAATTAATATTATCTGGTTTTTTAATATCTTTTGCTTCATTTTTTTTTCTTTCAAATTTCTCATATATATATATATATACTTGAAGAAGGATTAAGGCAATTAATAAAACAATTTTTCATCATGGCTTTTTTTCCTGGTGTATTACATAATTTGTCAAGTAGGGTTATTTACTTTTTAATAATTATCATTTAAGTAAACAATTGAATAAAGTATTTTTTAATATAGAGAAAATTTAATTCATTATAATTATTATTTAATTAAAAAAAATTAAAAGAATTTAGTAACGGATTTATTAGACAAATTGAATGAAGTATCAAAGTGTTGGAAATTAGCGCGAAAGTTGTTTTTTGACGAATGATAAGTTAAATCGACTTGTTGTTTAAATCAGATTGATTTATTTACAATTACAATAATAATTTTTAAAAATTAATAGTTTTTAATATTACTTTATCGAGGATTTTAAAAGGGTAAACAGTTATAAAATATGTCTACGATTCAAAAAAATTTAAAAACTGTGCAAGAAAGAATTAGAAATGCATGCTTAAAGAGAGCAGTGGTAAGTTTCAAATTTATTTTTATAAAAAATAGTATCAGTATTTGATTTAATTAAATCTCTACGTGACAAAAATATAAATCAATTATATATTGAAAATTTTTAATTTTTATCGAATTATCGAATTGTTTGTTTATATAAAGAATTTGTCAAATATTGAACCACGTTTGGTCGCCGTATCAAAAACAAAACCAATAGAATCCATTATTGAAGCTTATAATTGTGGACAAAGACATTTTGGTGAAAATTACGTACAGGAAATTGTAGAAAAAGCATTTGACGAAAAATTACTAGTAAATGTCCAGAAATTGAGTGGCATTTTATTGGTCACTTGCAAAGAAACAAGGTTAACAAATTACTTAGTATTCCGAATTTATTCGCTGTGGAAACTGTTGATTCTGAAAAATTAGCTGATGCCCTTAATAATTACTTTAGCAAAACTGAAGACGAAAACAAAAAAATTAATATTTTTATTCAAGTCAACACAAGTGGAGAAGAATGTGAGTATACTTAAAAAAAATTATTACTTCAATTCTTGCAATTACAACCATTAAACTGTATTTTTTTTGGAAATTACTATGTTACTTTTATAAATAGTTATTCAATATTTATAAAGCAATTCTGAAACCCATATAATGACATTAAAGTTGCTTGTTTTTTAATATAAAAAAACAATATTAATAATAAATAAAAATATATATATATATAATAATTTCATATTTTAGCTAAATCTGGATGCAAACCCAATGAAACATGTAACTTAGTTAAACATATAATTGATAATTGCAAGCATTTGAATGTCATGGGTTTAATGACCATTGGCAAATATGATAATTATTTAACTTCTCAGGATAAAATTGATCCAGACTTTCAGTGCCTGATCGATTGCAAAGACAATATTTGTAAAAATTTAAATGTTACTTTTGACCAATTTGAACTTTCCATGGGAATGTCTGCTGATTTTGAACGAGCAGTATGTCAAAATTTGACACAATTACTAATTGGACTTATAAATTTTTTTTTGTAACTAATAATCTTTGTATTTAATTAATTTGTTTTAGATTCTAGCTGGTTCATCGAATGTAAGAGTTGGTTCACTGATTTTCGGTGGAAGATCATAGAAAACGATATTTTTTTAAAAAAAATTGATAGGTGTAAATATGAAAATAAATAGATATAGAAAAGTTAATAGAATTCTTAAATTTTATTCCAATCATTTTGGGTTTAGGAAACCTTATCAAATACTTTTAGATGGAACTGTTTGTGTGGCTGCTTTAAAAAATAAAATTAATATTCAAGAACAACTTACAAAATATTTAGGTAATTATATTTTTTGTTGATAGTAAAGCATGTTCTTCAAGTTAATATAATTTGGTTTTTAAGTTATTTGTATTTGATTTTTTTAATAATGATGATGTTCGACTTGAAGATTTTACTAATTTTTTTATAATATTTATGTAAAAAAATTAATAAAAATTTTAGGTGGGGATGTGAAGTTGTTAACCACTCAATGTATAATCAAAGAAGTGGAAAATTTAGGTTCAAAAACTACTGGAGCTCTGATTGTATTGAAAAATTTTGGACATCATCAATGTGGCCATGATGATTCTCCTGTATCAGCTCCAGAATGTATTACCCACATGATCCAAAATTCGAATAATTCAAGGTTTTGTATTATTAAATAATTTTTTTTTATTAGTAAATTATTGTGACTAATACAGTGAAATTTAATATATTTTAGTGCTTAATAATAATAATAATAATATTCAAAATTTTTTACAGGTACATAATTGCAACCCAAGATCGAAAATTACAGCAAGAAATTCGAAAAATTAGTGGAGTACCTTTGTTTTATTTTCATTTAAAAATGCCTACATTAGAAGCTCCATCAACAGTCACTCAAAATGCAGTACGAAATAAAGCTTATAATGATTGTAGGTTAGAAAAAATTGATAAAAATGTATTTAAAAATAATAATAATAATAGTAATCAAGAAAATGTCGAGGGTAAACCCCAGAGAAAAAAGAGAAAAATCAAAGGACCTAATCCGTTATCTTGCAAAAAGAAAAAGAAAAAACAAAATGGAAATGATAAAAAGTAAAATAAGTGATTAATGGAGAGAGATAGAGAGAGAGAGAGAGAAATAAACATTTTGCATTGACCGAGTTAATATGATTTAAACTGTATAATTATTATTAAAATAATTAAATAAATAAATAAATAAATGTTTTTTAAGTGATTTACCAGGAGAAATTATCAAATTTTATTAATAATAATTATTTTATTTTATCATTTGGGGGACAAGGGGGAAAGGAGGGAGGAGAAAAAAAAGTAGACAAAAAAATATTATTTAATAAAAAATAAAAATTTAATATCACAATAATTAAAATTTTATAATAATTTTTTTTTTTTTTTAAATTCATCATTAATAAAACAGAATAAAATTACAAAAAAAAAATAAAACAAAAATTTTAAAATATTTCTTTTTTTTTTTGGTAACATATTTTGAATTAAGGAAAAAGAAAAAAAAAATTTAATTAAAAATAAGCGTAAAAAAAATTAATAAAATCATACCTAAACTAAAACATAAAAAAAAAAAAAAATTAACAAATATATAAAAAAAAGATATAAACAAAATCACAATAGAAAAAAAAAAAAAAAAAAAAAAAACCGTTAACAAAAAACAAATTCAAAAAAAAATTTAAACTAGATTATTATAAGGTAACTTTGAGATTACATAAAATAGGAAAAATAATAATAATAATAATAAAGCAATTATTTAAATTCGTCCCACGTAATTTTTTTGATAAAGATTCCATTTTTATAATAAATTTTTTTAAAAATATTTATATATAATAAATGAAGCATTTTTTATATAATAATAATAATAAATTAGGCAATTTTATTTTTTTTTTTTGTGTGTGTAAGCATCAACAAGGCGTGAAAAATGTGATTTTTTTTTTTTTTTTTTCTTATTAATTGTCATCTAGTCATTTATGTGTTACAATTCTGAAAAAGAAAATTTAATATTTTAAAATTTTGTTATTTACTAAAAGTTAAATTAATTATCATTATTAATACTTTACTTGATTTTTAGTGAATTTGCTTCTATTTTTAAAAAAAAATTTGATAATCCAACTACGTGAAACAAAACATATGAAGATTATTGATTGATTGATTGATTGATTATTAAACTTCTTCAGTTTCAATAATAACACAATTTTGAAATTTTTCCCTTTGTTCCATTAATTCTTTTCTTTTCTGCATTTATTTATTTATTAATTAATAATTTTAGTAAATATACATCATATCATTTAAAAAAAAAAAAAAATATATACTTCTTCGTTAAGGACAATTATTCTTCCTTCGACTTTTGGTGTTAATTCGCAAGATTCTTGTTCAAGATCATCAAAACTGGCTCTTCTCGTTGTTGTTTGTCTATTTGTTGGAGAAGAATTCGGACTATGACTTTAAAAAAAGAAAAATCGAGTGCACAATTAATATTTCTTTTATTTTTTTTTTTTTTTTTAGGGTATTTAATAATGAAAACATGGAGTATGTCTGCTGTCACGTGACATTGAATGATGAGTTAAAATGATTGATTACCTGGTGGAATTATTGACATGGTTTTTCGGTGGTGACACTGATACTTTGTGATTGTTATCTCGTAACACAGGAGGGCCGTCACCGGCATCCAGTGTTTTCACCAAACTATGCCTGAGTAAAAATTAAAAGTGAATAAAGGTAACACATATTATTATTATTATTATTATTATTGTTAACAAAAAAAATGATATGTATCATTGAGAATGTTAATTTCCTTTTTTTTTTTTATTTTACATTTTTAGTTTGACCAAAAAAACGCTTTTTACAATGTCAAATGAAAACAAAAAAAAAAATTAATATGTTAAAGAAAAGAAATTTTGTGATTCCCACAAGAAAAAAAAAACCGTTAAATTTTATGCAAACATAATTTTAAATGATTCTCGAATATAAACTTACTGCACGTACATACTTTTTTTTATTCATTTTTAAGGGTAAGTAATAAATTAAAATTTTGTGATTTTTTTCTTTTCCTTACCTGCGAGACAAGGTAACAAGGCTTTGTCGATGTTTTGAATGTCTTCCAGTTTTTCCAAGTCTCATATTTATAGCTTGAAAATGATTTCTAATAGCCAGACCAAGATCCGGAGTTCTTTCTTCATCGACCTACGAGAAAAATCATCGAAACTAATTACGTCACGCTGAAATATTTTAAAATTGTTTTTAAGTAAAAATGAATTGTTCGCCATACCAATAATTCGGCTTCCTTTAAAATATCATAACCATCACAACCTTGGTACAAATAAGTTTTAGTTGCCAATCTGTAGGTTGATTTTAAATCTAAATATTCATCTCCGACTCTTACGAGAAGCGGATCGACTCTCGAATATGGAGGTTTTTCAGGATCGAATCCAAAAGATAATCCAGCAACCTGAGGAAATCTTCCTTCTAATTTCGGATAAGAACTAACGCCATTTTCCAATGCCAATAATAATTGTTCCCCTAGATAAATTTAACGAAGTCTATAACAAAAAATTAACATTTGCACAGATAAATAAGAGTAAACACATAAAATACCTGTTACAGAAAGTAAAACCAAAAGATCCATCATGGGTATCACGTGAACCAAATCGCCCAGGGTAAAGTTTCCTGCAGGATGAACGGCATCTGAACGAAAAGTTCCAGAATTTAAAATAACGCAATCGGCATTTGTTGCAGCCAAAACAACATCGCAAACCCAATTTCCCAAATTTGTTTCTCTTTTTCTAATGCTGTCAAAACGACCATCTAAAGAAACTGTAAAGGTTCCAAGGACTTCTTGCAATTTTCCCTCAAACACTCCTGGATAAAATTTTTTAAATGTAATTTTTTCCCCTTTTTTTTTTTTAAATGTATAATTTAGCTCCTTTTTTTTTTTTTTACCTGAATATTTTTCAAGATGTTTCAACATGGCCGGATCTTGTGCATATTTTTTCGTTACACTTATTTCATCTACATTTACATCTACGGTTTTTCCAAAGTTTAAAGTAATTTTTGAAAATTGCCTAAAGTCCGTTCCCGATTTCACTATGTATTTATTATTAACATTTTTTACTTCGAATACATGATCGTGACCCCCTAATATTAAATCAATATTATTTACATTTTCAGCTAGTTTTACGTCGTTTGGTGTTCTCATGTGAGTCAAAGCTATCACATAATTGCAACCCTAGGAAAAAAAAAAAAAAACAGGTAAGTAAGTAATACAATTATTTAATTTTTACATTATTAAAAAAATTGCAAAAAATAATTTTACCTCATTTTTCAATTCGGTCGCCAATTTTCTCCCCGCTTCTACAAAATCAATAAAAGTTATTTGTTCAGGATTAATAGTTGGTAAAGTGTCTAACCATTCTTTTTCAACTAAGCCTATCTAGAAAAAAATTATAAAAAAAAATAAAATGGTGATTGTGGTGATTGATTGAAAAGTGAATTAAAAATTGTAAACTATATTTTAATCATACAATGCCTATTCGCTGGCCTTGCCAATCGATTGTATGCGAAATTTTTCCATCTCCTAAAGGTTTTCCAGTTTCGTTGTCTATAACGTTACTCATTAACCATGGAAAATTTGTATCTTTTACATATTGAGACAGTATTTCTAAACCAAAATCAAAATCGTGATTACCGAAAACTGCACACTGAGTATTTAGCTCATTTAAAACCGCCACCATTTGCTCTCCTTTTGTCACCGTTGATACTGAAATAAATAATTATTATTATTATTAATTTAGTCATGAAATTTAATGCTAAAGTTCACAAGGTAAGGTACTTACACATGCTTGGAGAAAAAATATCACCGCTAAATAAAACTAATGGATTTAGATAATTAAAAGTTTTCATGGCGGTTGAAAATCTAGCTGCTCCTCCCACCTGTAATCGTATGTATAGTTAACAATTACAACTGCACCTGCAGACACAGTTTCGGATTCTTACAAAACTTTTATTATTTATATATAAATAAAAAGCAAATTAATGATTTCCAACACACCAAACTCTGAAAAAAGAAAAAAAAAGAAAAATACATACTGGCTCTGTGTTCCGCGACTCAACATTGTACGTGTCATTATAATGAAGAATTGTGATGACATTTTTGGCGTTTTTCGGGATTTACCATCGTGTCAGAATAACCTGATAATGTTTCTAAAGTACGTTTTCCAGCTTGACGCACTTCATAGATGCCTAAAATTACACAAAAAAATTTTTATATTTACATCTGTTTTTCCGCTTATGTACAAAAAAAAAAAAAAAAATAAAAACATGTACTTGAAATAAATAAAATATTTATTAAATATAGACTCCACTCAAAATATTATTACACAGTTAAAAAAAATTATAGGGAAAAACAAAAACTTTTTTTTTTTGATTTTAACTACAAGTTGTTGTTTATATAGATTTTTTTTTTATTTATATTTATTTAAAATTTTTTTTTTTAAACATTGTTTACAAAAAGAATATTTTTTTTTTTTAAAACTCATAATTACATTAATTTAAATCTGTCGTGTCACGCACCATTCATTTGAAACTTTTACTCATTTTTATACAATATTACTATTAATATTAAAATTCCATTTGTGTTTTTAATACCTTATTAATAAATTATTACATAAAAATTCCAATAATTGCAACGTTTAAATTACTTTCTTATCGAATATGTGAGTGTTTTAACTAATTACTCATTTTTAAGTTTTTTTTAAAATTGCAGGTAGCACCTGCTATTATAATTTAGAAAACTCTTATTACATAAATTTTTAATGGGTTTATTTATAAATTAATTTAAAATTTTTATACTTTTATTGATTTTAAAAAGATTCATAGTATTTAATAATTACAAAACGTTTTTTTTTTTTAGTAGTAAGGAAAAAAAAAGGCATCTTGGAATTAATTATAGTATCTTTTTCTTTTCAATACATTTTTTTTTTTTTTTTTTTCAACAAATCAAAAAATTTTCTAGAATTTATTAAATTTTTTAGGGGGATACTTTACTCTTAAACATTAAATAAAAGTGAGTAGTCATATAATAAGCTGTTTAACATATAGAATAATGTACTCAAAGTTAGCAAAAATCTCATCTATTTATTCAATGTCTTAAATTCTTAACTAAGGCAAAAGAAAAATCTTTTTTAATGGTTTTCATTTAGACTTTATAAACGACTAATATTTTTATATGAAAAGTTTTATTCTCAGTAACTGATAACTTAAAAATATTTCACTTTTTAGTGAAATTATATATATATATATATATAGTTTCATTTGTTTTAAAATAAGCAAAGCAAAGTAAAAAACCTCATACACAAGTTTATTTAAACTAATATTAAAAAACAAATTTCTCGATTTAGTATTTATATATACATAAACCCTAAAAAAATTCAATGCATTAAATATTTACAATAATAAATTAATCTATACAAAAACATTTTTATGAAATCGTTGTTAGCATAGATTTACATTATTAAATGAAAATTGTGTTGGAAAAAATATGAAATCAATATATTTTACCTGCTTAAGCCAACCAACTACACTTCTAACCCCTGATGAAACCTCTCCTGATATTTCCAGTTGGGTAGATTCTATAAGGTCAGACCACTTGGATCTGATTTCAGCTTGTGCAGCAAAGCCGGCCATTTTTTCAACTTTCCCACAAGCAGCATTTAGTGAATTAAATTTTAACATTACTCTCATAATAAAATTTATTTTTATTTATATAATCACCAATATAGCACATTTAACCAGTCAACAATATTGAGTTAACAATAAGTAAATATTATATTACACCTTTTTTTTTTCGTAATGTTAAAAAAAAAAAAAAAAGAACAGGATATTATAAATAAATTACCAAATTTTTAAAAAGTTCAACAATTTTTTAAATATTTTTTTTTCTTCATGTTAAAAATTAATAAAAATATCATATTCATATTACACCTTACTTACAATTTTTTGGACAATAACAAATAATAATTATTGCTTTCTTTTTATACCAAAAAAGGTATTGTTAAGAAGAACTCACCAAATGTATTAAAAAAATTTTATGATTGTACGTCATTGTTTTAGCAATAACATCACTTATTTTGTTAATATTTAATAGAATATTTTGAAAGAAAAGGGTTGAAATTATTTTGATATTGATTAATATTTTAAAAAAAAATAATTATGCATATTTTGTTTTTTTGGTAAATATTACATGTCAATTAATTTTTTTCAAATAAAAACCCTTAAAATTAATTTAAATCAAATAATAAAATAAGTACGATTGTTATACATTATAAATTTTGTTAATATTATTTTTTATTTTTTTTTTTTTTTTTCAAGTACACACAAAATTATCTTAGCGAACCATAAATTTAAATTTCAAACTTGTAGTTTAATGTCGTTTTTTTATAAATTTAATTATTTTTCCAATTATTTACTGATTTTAAATTTTAAAAAAGAACAAAAAATGTAATTAATTTTTTTACTTACTTTTCAGACGATTTCGAAAAAAAATATTAAAAATATTTGATATTTTCGGTTGTTTGATTTTACTAATAAAATGAAAAAAGGGCAAGAAAATTATTGTAATGTAAATGCGACTCTAAAAATAAATTAAAAGAACTATCATAGTAAATTTATTAAGTCGATATTTAGATTAAAATTCAGTTAAAGTAACTCAAGGACACTACTGTGTCCCACAGCCTTTGATAATTATTTAAATAAAAAGTGCATTTGTTATATCTAATTACACGATTCTAATTCTATCATAATCGATTCATATAATAATTATTTATTTTAAGAAAAAGTTTAATAATTGTTATATTTATATATAAGTATTTTAATAGTTACTTCGAATGAATACAGCTTGTAGTAATTGTTTACTTCCGTGCAACTTTTTTGACATTCTATAGAATAATGAAGAAATTATTAAATAACAGGCCGTTACCTACGGTAATGTAAATTGCGCAATATCCTTATTTATTATTTTTTATTTATTATCCTGTGTCAATAAATTTTTTCTTTCTTTCTGAATTATAGTTTCAGCAATATTTTAAATTGTATACTCATCACTAATTTTTTTATTATTGCCGTATGTTGGCCTATATCTACTTGTTATTTAAGATGACCTTGATCTACCAGATTTGTCCTTTGTTTTTTCAATGTTTTCACAGATTATTTCAAAATAATTTTAAATTATTAATTTTGGTTGAAAGAAAATAATCATTACACTATTTTATCTTATTGATGTATTAATTTTTTATTGATAAAATTAATAATCAATGTAAATCATTCATATTTTACATTACTGTATATTTTAATTTTCAGGAATGTTTTGTTTAACTTATCATTACTGACAACACCTTTAAAATTTTAATTAATATTTATTATTATAAAAAAAATTGTGATGCCTCCTGGAAATAAAGACAATAAAAGAAAGAGAAAGGTTGAAACCAATCTCAATGATGAAGAATATCGAAGAAAGAGGGATAAAAATAATTTGGTATTGCTATTTTAAATTAAAAAAAAAAAAAATTATTAATTTCTTTTGGATTTTAATGTAAAAACAATTTTGTTTTTTTTTTTTTCTAAATAAATTCCAGGCAGTGAAAAGATCGAGGGATAAAACAAAACAAAGAACAAAACAGACATTAGATAGAGTAAATCAATTAAAATCGGAAAATGAAACTTTAGAGGAAAAAATTAAGCTTCTTACAAAGGAGCTTAGCTTTTTAAAAAATTTGTTTTTGGCTCATGCTGGTAATTAATATTTTATACTATTTACTATCAAAATTTGTTTCATTCACTGTTCAAGAAAATAATTTCAAAATAATTGTTTATTATTTTGTGCTTTATAAATTTTAATTATATAATTTTTTTCAGGTTCTAATAATGGAATTGATTTAAGAGACATAAATTTAACTGCCTTATTACAGGAAAATGAAGAAGCTTCTTCTGCAGCTCTGAAAGAATTAATAAACAATTCAAATCTTGAAGGAAACAAATCATAACTGTGAATGAATTTAATTTTTTTTTTTTAAATTTAATTTTAATATTTTTGTGATAAAAAAAAAAAAAAAAAAAATGTATTTCGTTTTAGTTACTTAAAAGAAATCTCAATCTGAGTAATTTTTTTTTTTTTTTTCAATCAGAAAATTATTATTTATTGTCGAAATGTTTACTATTGCTACCTCTCTTTATGAAAAAAAAATTTTATTTTATTTTATTATTATTATTATTATTTTCTATGGTTATTGTTGTTTTAAATTTTTATAAATAATACATTCATAATTATTTTTCAATGCTTTGTCATTGTTTATTATTTGTTTTGAGTTTTTTTATATAAATATTTTTTAAAATAAGTTTTTAAAGAAATAAAATGAAAGAAAATTTATTAGAGTTGAAAATATTCAAGTTGATAAAAAGAGTATAAAAATGGCTCAAAGGATAAAATGAAACAATAATTTTTATTTTTATACTTTTTATTAAGTGTCCAAAGGTATTATTTTAAAAAATATCCCACAATTGTGCTCTCTAACCCCAAAAAAAATATTTTTTCCTTATATAAAATTTATAATATATATATATGAGGTTATAAATATCATTTTATTCAAGATGAAAAGGTCACGCAGCAATATAAACTTTAAAATTTATAGAAAAAAAAATTTTTTTTTTTTCTTAGTTTCCTTGGACGGATAAGATAATTATAAATATTACGTTTTCATTTTACTAATTACAATAAAATAATTAAAAATAATTTTTTGTATTTATTATGTAATAAAATTTATATTTAAAAATTTTTTAAGTTATAATAAAATCATATATTTAATATATGTATATATATTAATGATCGATATAATCGATCATCAAGTAGTAGTATATTAATAGTTTTATTTAAAAAACATGAAAGATTAAAAAAATTCAACATATTTCTCCCTTTTTACCGGACACACGTTGAAAATCACCCATGTTAGTTGCTGCTTTGGGAATCCCTATAAATCCTAATGAATTCAAAACTGTTTTATCTGATGAATTTTGATTATTTTGAACATACAATTGAATATTGGTGACATTTTGAAATTTGACAAACGTTAATGGAATCGGTGTATTGTCGAGCTGTGTTGGTAAAATAATTAATTCCTGAACGGGTACGTTAGATTCACCGCTATCGAAACCCAATGTGTGAGGTTGATTGATAAATATTTTTATATTTTTCGGTCCATTAGTTTGGGGAGCTTTTATTTTAATGGAATGTATTTTAACCGGCTGCTGAAACGTAACAGCCATGATCAATTGTGCGTCACAATCGGATTCAAGATAAGAATCATTATTTTCAAATACGTTTCTAAATGGGTGTCGATCTGATTCGTTCATGCATTCACATTGATTCATTGAAATATATGTTTGTAAGTCGCTATAACCTGCTAAGTTCTCTTCCCTGTTTTTTGAATATTGTGTGATTTTTTGTTCTAAGGCTAAGGGATCGGCTCCTTGTAAAACGTCAATTTTTTCAAGATTTTTATGAAAAATAAATGTGGGCATTGCGGTAACACCTTGAGCGATAGCAGTTTCTTGACATATGTCAACATCTAGTTTTAAAAAAACAACGCTTGGGTGTTTTTTTGATAATTCCTCATAAAATGGTTTGATTTTTTTACAAGGAACGCACCATTCAGCTGAATAGTAAACAACAACTAATTTTTCTCCAGCTATAGTCAGTTCAGTTTGTAACTGATCATCCAATTCAACTATTTTTATTTCACTCATTTCAATTTTTTGATGATGTTTTTTATATCAAATTATATTAAAAATTCAATATATTTTTTTTTCTTTAAATAAAAAATTTCAGGGATACCAACGTGAATTTTTAAATAAATAAATTACGATAACAAAAAAAAAAAAAATCGATAAATATCGATTCGATATAAGATTTATCAGATGGTAGTTTTTTTTTTTGTTAATCTTAGAAAATTGTCCGTGAAATATTATTATTATAAAAATTATTTTTAAATAAATGAATAATTTTCTTAACGTTTGTTTATTCTTTAACGAAGGGGAAAATTTTCCAAATATAGAGAAAAGTTATTATTTAAAAAATGGTCGTTTTCAAATCGGAATTCGTTCATTTTAATTTTTTTTTTTTTATTCGTTAGGGAGAATTGTAATTAATATCTTCAAGATGGTTTTTAAATTAAATAATAAATTCATTTTTTTTTTTTTTTGAATAGTTTTCAATTATTTTATTGTTGGTTATTAAAGTCGTTCTCTTACATAACTCATTTATTATTTAATATTAATTACTTATTATCGAAGTGAAAAAACTTGACAGGAATTTATACGAAAAAAAAAAAGAAACAACAAGTATATTCGTTTTGATTAATAAATATTTAAAAAACTTTTAAGTACACTCGAATTTGGTTTATAAAAAATTAAAATTTAATATTATTTTTATAAAATAAAAAATGAAGAATTGAAAAGATTTACGATCAAATAAGAGGATACGCTTAACATTGGTTTTTTTTTGTTAATGTAAAAAGAAAAAAACTTAAGAAAATGAAGTAAATTATTGTTTTGTTACCCTTCTTTACTTATTGCATCACCAAACTATTATCTAATATCACAAAAATCATTTTTAAACATAATTTTCAAGCACAATAATCTGTAACTGAAACACGAGAAAATAATTTTATAGATGGTAGAATTAGTAGTTATTAGGTTGGTTTTTTTACTCGATGTAAATTTTCATGGCGCTTTATCCACTCTGTGTGTTCTTCAAGAAGGCAGCGATTTTAAAACAACAGAGATTGGTTGAAGAATAAATTTAAGTTGACAAACTCCCAAAGTGTTAATTTTTATTTGTTCTTTAAATAATTTTAAAACTAAACACATTATTAAACTTAAGTTGCTTATTAATTTATTATTTCTGGTTAGTTATTACGATATAAAATACTCTCTTTTATTTATTCGTGGTTTTATTTTATTTAAAAAAAAAAGAAAAAAAAAAAGCAAAATGGCCTCCGTACATTAATACTTTCTATTTCCTGAGACAAGTATATACAATTTTCGTCAATTATATTAAATTTAAAATTGTAAAAGTTATTGTGAATAAACTTGTATTGTGTTTTATTAAATTATATATTATTTGTAATGAAAAAAGGATGTCTTTATTGAATGTTTAAATTAAATTTTCTTGAAAGCATTATTTTATTTAAATAAAATATACTATTTTGTTGAGGTTATTTGATTTACAAATATTATCAAAGCTAAACATTTTAATGTAAATACTAATGTAAACTGATGCTTTTCCTTAGTTTTTTAAATATTATTAAGAATGTATTTCTTTACAAAATTTTTTTTTTTATTGAAATATGTACATGTTTTAATTTTACCTATTGAATTTGTGACTTGATTAAGCTGTCAGATAAATTACATGTAAAATTTAACTTGTTTAATTTTATTTTTTAGTTATCATGGCATCGGAGCAGCAGCAATACTTTTTAAAATGGAATGACTTTCAAACTAATATGGTTTCTTCATTCAAACATTTAAGAGATGAAAAGAGTTTCACTGATGTCACATTAGCTTGTGAAGGTCAAACCTGCAAGGCTCATAAAATGGTGTAGTAGATTAGCATTTTGTCTTTTAGGCATTTTTTTATTTAGTAATAGCACATTTATTTCTACAAAAAATTTTAACAAGTTTGATTTTTAAATTGAACTTTTTCTTAAATAAAAATTGTTTGAACTTGATTTACATTGTACCAGAATATCGTAACAACATTAAAATTGTCGATATTAAATAAAAAAGCAATTTTTAATTTTTATTAATTTTATTTATAGGTGTTATCAGCATGCAGTCCTTATTTTAAATCGTTACTTGAAGAAAACCCTTCTAAACATCCGATAATAATATTAAAGGATGTTCCATTTAGTCACCTTCAAGCAATTTTAGAATTTATGTATGCGGGAGAAGTAAATGTATCACAAGATCAACTTCCAGCCTTCTTAAAAACTGCAGATCGTTTAAAAGTTAAAGGACTTGCAGAAGCACCTCAGTCAATTAAAAGAGAAGGATAGGAATTTTTAATTATTTTACTCTTTTAAATTATATGTATAACTTGTAATAATAATATTCAAAAATATTATTATTATTATTATCAATAATTATACTATATTATACTATACAATATTATTGTTACAAATATTATAAATTCAAAACAATTTTTTTTTGATTATTCAAAACACAATCGAAATAACTTTTCAAATTTTTCATTATTTTTTAAAAATCTCATTACTTAGTTTAATTTTTTTTTTTCTTTTTTCTCAATTCTTTGAAAAAAAAAATAAATGTAATAAAAATTATTGAACAGTGTTATAATTAATTAAGATTGTTAATTAATTTGTGTTACTTTATTGAAAAAAAAGTAAAAAAAAATTATTTTCATGGATTAATATTGTTAACTTTTCATAAAGATACTTCAATAGTTTTATAATGTGACTGAGTATACCAATATTTTATTTTATTTTTTTTTGTTAATTTTATTCAGCATTTTAATACATTCAATTTAATGTTTTTTTTTTTTTTTTTTAATTTTGATAAGTTGTAATTAAAATTAATTGATTGATTGATTGATTTTTTTTTTTTTGATGTGTAAAAATAATACAGTTACACTAATGTAATAAATTTATTGCATTTTTATTTTATTTTATTTTAAGACAAAACTTAGGTAATAAAAATTGATATTTTTAATTAATGGCAAAGTTTTATAATTTTTACATTATTAGCCAATTTTTCAAAAAAAAATAATAATAATGATAAAATTATTATTATTATTATTAGTCAT